GCTCACCACGGGGTACTGGGACAGGTCGTTGTAGGTGCGCCCCGCGATCGTGTTCAGCTGCATGAGGTACTCGAAGTTGGAGATCTCCCGCAGGACCCATTTCTGGAGTGAGGGGATGGGGGTGAGATGGGTTTGGGAGGGGCAGGAGACAGGGCAGACACCCCACCACATGGCAGGGCCCATCCCATGGCCATCACCGGTCCCAGAACACCTCTGGTCTCTCGGCTGTCCCCAGTCCCATGGCCATGGACCACCTCTGGTACCACAGCTGTCCCTAATCCCATGGCCGCCCCAGTCCCACGGCTGTCCCCGGTCCCACGGCTGTATCCACCCCACAGCCATCCCTGGCCTCGTGGCCACCCCTGGTCCCATGGCCATGCCCATTCCATGGCCACTTCTGGTCTCACATCCATCCCTGGTTCCATGGTCACCCCTGGACCCATGGCCATGCCCATTCCATAGCCACCCTGGTCCCATGACCATCCCTGGTCCCATGACCATCCCTGGTCCCATGACCATCCCCAGTCCCATGGCCATCCCCAGTCCCATGGCCATCCCCATCCTATGGCCATCCCTGGTGCCACAGCTGTCCCAGTCCCAGGACCACTCTGGTCCCAGAGCCATCCCTGGTCCCTGAGCCATCCCTGGTCCCAGAGTCCTCCCCATCCCACAGCCACCCCTGGTCCCATGGAGATCTCCAACCCACAGCCATCCCTGATCCCATGAGCATCCCCACCCCACGCTGTCACGCTCCCCTTTCCCATCTGGGAATTCCAACCATATGGGATGGGGATGGGCACGGAGAGGCCAGTACCTGTGTGAGCCCCGAGGCTTTGAGCAGCTCCTGGGGCGAGCGGCTGCCGAAGTAGATCTGGTTGGGGGGCCGCAGGCCGAGGATGCAGGAGTACACCTTGTTCCTCACCTGGAGGGACGGGGAGAGGACACGGAGTGACCGGAGCTCGGGCAGTGCCGTGGCCCTGGGAGGGGCTTGGGGGTGGGATAAGGGCGTTCCACCTTCTTTCTGAAGTTGAGGAAGTAGTTGGCCTGGTCGATGAAGAAGAGCTCGAGGGCGGAGCGGCGCAGGTTGTAGCGGCGCAGGTGGACCTCGCGCAGGTGGGACAGCGGGCGCTTGAAGTCGTAGCCGATCCCTGCCAAGATGGGGGGCACGGAGTCCCACAGGGATCACCAGCCACCCAGGCCCCCATTCCCAAGGCAGGGATGGGGCAGGGAGAAGCTGACCCCCAAACCAACCGTGGGTGATGGGTTCTGGGGCAGAT